TGCTTTGCTCTTGTGAGACCCCATCTGGAGTGTTGTGTTCAGCTCTGGGGCCCCAAGCACAAGAAGGACATGGACCTATTAGAATGAGTCCATGAGGAGAGCCACAAAGATGATCAAGGGGCTGGAGCACCTCTCCTATGAATACAAGATGAGGGAGTTGGGGCTGTTCAGCCTGGAGAACGGAGGGCTCTGGGGAGAACTTATAGTGGCCTAGCAGTACCCAAAGGGGGCTTTCCTATAGGAAAGCAGGAGAGGGATTCTTAGTCAGGGAGTGGAGAGATAGGATAAGGACTAATGGGTTTAAACTAAAAGAGGGGTGATTTAGATTAGATATTAGGAAGAAATTCTTTATTCAGAAGGTGGTGAAGCACTAATAGGTTGCCCAGAGAAGCTGTGGATCCTTGGAAGTGTTCAAGCTCTGGCTGGATGGGGCTTTGAGCAACCTGGTCTAGTGGGAGGTGTCTCTGCCCATGGCAAGGGCGTGGAATTGGATGATCTCTAAGATCTTTTTCAACCCAAACAATTTTATGATCCTATTATTTTTTCAGGTGAAGATTTATGTTTGCAAAACTGATTCCAGAGTCCCTTCTTTCTCAGTTATGTAGCTCTCTCAGTCCTGGAGCATCCTCATCTGTGATCTGTACTTTATTTTGATTAATCACATCATGCAATTCATACTTTTTTTTTCTGTCTATTCTCAAAGTCCTTGTTTCCCTTCATTCTTTCAAGAAATCGAGCATATCTTTTGCTCATTAATCACAGAATTCTTCTAATCTCTCTGTATCAATCACTTGCTTATTTCTCTCTTCATTTACAGATATCTATTTGCAGGTATCATCATAATTATAAACAATGTTAGTAGCAATCTGGAAGGTTGTTCCATATGTAAACTGCTAAAAATATAATATTACCGACATTAAGTGTAACCTTCTTCAGATGACTTCTATTATTTAAATTTGATTTTGAGATGAAAGCTCTGTGCTAAGAAAACCATATGTCAATTTTTAATTAACAATGATATCCCCCCTCAATTATTAACCAAATAATAAAGTCAGGTTTATAGCCTTCTGTCATTGCTAATGAATGGAGTAAATGCATCAAAGGTCATCTTTTTTATCGGTGTTATTTAAAAGAAGACACACAAAATTCAAGTGTATTTTTTATTTTTAACATAAGTAAAGGTTTATGAGAACCTTTCAGTCTCTGAGCGTTAGGAAGACTTGCTTTTCTGCCAGCTTTGCAACTGCCAAAGTAAAGCCAGGTTACCATACTACTGTATTAAGTACACAAAAAGGCTGAATGACCTGCTGGCATGCTTGACTGCCTTTGTGTACCAAAGAAAGTAGTCTGGCAAGAAGCCTTAGATAAAGTTACCATCTGTCTGGGCCTTTGCATTTTCTCACCAAGGCTCCTGCCCTCTACAGCCAAGTCTCAGAGTTGGACATGGCCACAATGATTTTGCACATCTGTGTTGCAAAATGAGACCACTGACAACAAGGAAAGGAAGTGGGACTTTGGTGACTACATAGGAGCACATCATGCTTGGCACCTTAGGATGTGATGAGGAGTGCATAATTCAAAACAAAACCTCTTAATGTAAGTAACGTAATAACTGGCTTAGAATTTGCTGACTGTTAATTATTGAACAATTCCAATTTGTCTGACCAAAAATGTATCCTATGTCTCCTCAACTGCTAGTACCAGATGACTAATAGCAACTCTTTTGAAAGAGGTCCAGGAATGTCTTTGTACTGCCTTTACTTTTCCACGACTTTAGCCAAGCTTCCATGTACCAAGAACCCTGAAACTCAGTGCCAAAACCTCTCCCTCCTGGTACTTCTTCCATAAACAAGTTTTCTGTTAGGTTTTAAATACAGTTCACACTGGAATTTGCTAAAAAGGAGCTTGAATAGAAGGATACTTTGATTATAAATTCTCTTAAACTCTTGAAAAAAACATAGCTTCTTCGTTAGCATTAGTGCAAGTAACATACGGAGGAAGGGAAAAATACAAAACATTAACTCCTTTGACAAGCAATGTGAGGTAGTAGTCTTTAAGTTCAGATGTGAATAATGAAAAAGAGTGTTTTGTACACAAGGTGTCTCTCTAATTTTCCAGAGGAATTTGGGAAACAGAGACTATATACTATTTTCTGACCTATTTTTTTTACAGGTGACAGTTATATGTAAGCTTTCTTTTTCAAGGGCTTTCCTTTTTGAAACATACACTTAGTTTTGTCAATTAAAGAAAAAAAAAAAGGCTAGTTTTATAAAATGAGCTAGAGTTGGATGTGAAGCCACAGCAAAGGTTCACTTTCTGAATACATATCTGTCACACTTCGTAAATGCTAATGTTTGTGAGATTTATAAAAACAGAGCAGGATTATTCCTTTGTCAGCAATGCCCTGATCCACTGCTGCCTTAAAAACTTGTCAAATGAGATCCATGACTAGTTTGAACAGAATTCTATTCCTCAAATGTTGTTTGAGCATAGGCTTATGTCATATTTTAACAGTACCATCCTTCCAGATCAATCAAGAGACTCTTTTCTCTGTAAGAAAAGCTTATCTTTATTCTTTCTGTGATATCATCATATCAACTACTTAAGCCGAAGGAAAATGAAGTACTTAAAATCTCTTTTCTTAGGAATTTGACCAGTTCTAGAGAAGGACGTAGGCCAAACAAACTTTCACTCTGGAACCACAAATGGCAGAAGATCAAAACCTCTTTTAAGTAGCTTAGACGTTTAACAAGCACTTCTCTGCTGCTTTATATCCCCCCCCTCTTAGCCTCTCCAGATGATTTAAAATCTTGATGCTTTCAGGTGGAACATGGGAATATGTGGAACCTAGCAATTTTTTTTTTATTTGGCAACAGGTCCTTGTCATAATCTCTCTCTTCAGTTTGGTTACTTGCCATTTTAACACCTATTTGCCATTACTTGCCATTTTAACACCCTCTAAAATATGTATGCTAATCTATCCTTTTTTTCCTTGTTGTTCATATTTATACTAAATTTGAAATAACGAGAGACAGAAGCAAACAAAAAATTATGCTTCTACCCATATCTCTTTCCAATCTTTTATCTTAAATCTTCTACTTTGTGCCACATCAGACAGTGTTTCTTTAACTCAGCTCCCATGGACGAATCCAGAACTGTGGATTAGGTCAGCACCAGCCTCCTCTAGTTTAGTAGAAAAATCGGGGATAACAGGATGGGACTGAAAATGACCAATGCAATCTAGTTAAATGACCAATCAATCTAGTTAAAATTAATGAGAAATACTGAGAATGATGATATTTTTATTTTATTTTATTTTATTTTATTTTATTTTATTTTATTTTATTTTATTTTATTTTATTTTATTTTATTTTATTTTATTTTATTTTATTTTATTTTATTTTATTTTATTTTATTTTATTTTATTTTATTTTATTTTATTTTATTTATTTATTTTTTCCCTGGGTATTTTCAGGGCTGTTGTTTTGAATAAGGACTTACAAACACAGACTCAGTTATCCTTCTGGTAAGAGCCCTGAAAAATGGTTATTCCCAAGAACTGTGTAGTGTTTGTTTGTTTGTTTGTTTTATATTTACAGGAGGAGAATGGTGCCACCACCCATTTCCCATTTTCTGCAGTAAAGGGTAATCAGTATAGACACTTCAAAAATAAAAAAAAAAAAACACAGTGCAGTCAGGCTGCTGCAAGATCTTTGTATTGCAATTTGGACACTTACCTAAATCCTCTATCAGTTATAAACAAGAATATTTGTAACTATCCTGAAGACATTTCAGTATTATTAAACCGTATTTGTTTTACATTTTCATTATCTTGTTGAGAAATTTGGAATCAAATTTGCAATGTAGGACATTTGACTGAAATTTTACTGGTTATTGGCATTGCAAAATGTCATTCATATTTATCTGTTAATATCTTTAACACTCACAATCAATGGATTACTGTAACCTGTGAGATGTAACCAACATCAGGAAGCCTATGAAGAGAAAAGAAGGAGAAGCCAAATAGCTATACTGTAATTTGTATATCAGAGTTCTGTTTATATTGGGTTTCAAAGAACAGTATTTCTCAGATAGAATTCAGACAATGTATCTGGAATCTTAAAAGAGCACTGCATTTTGGTTGCTATCATTAATAGTATGAGTTAGAAAAAACATTTCCCTTTAATGTTTTACAGCATGATTAGACTTAGGAAGACCAGCTGTGAAATTTGAAAACATAAAATTTGATTTTAGAGATTTAAGCTCAAAGATGTGTATCAGTGTTTATAAAAATGAGTTAAAATGCTATGATGATTAAAAAAAATTCCAGACATCTGTCCCAACTTTTCCTCCTGTGGGCATCCAGTCTCTGATCTCAAGTCTCCAGTCTTTTTGTTTTTATGTCACCACACACAAACTGGTGGTTGAAATGCCAATAATGTTACTTGGAGATGGTTCAGTGACTAAAAGCTGTGTAGTTACCATGCAAATTGAATCTGCAAAATGAACCTGAACTTTTCCAAATACAACTCTGTTAAGACTGGTCTGTAAATTAGTAGCTGCGTCAACCACCCACATCCTATCTGCTTCCCAAAGCAGATGAAAGGTTGCTGTACTGCTGCACCTACACACAGTCTGGCTGTCACAACTGAGACCAGCAAGACAGGGACTGATGGTATGAATTTAATGGACACAGGAGACTTCACAGACCAGAGTGCAGTGGAAGCTGTGAATTTTTTTCAGTGCATTGAATAGGTGTATTGGGTTTACGTGGCAAGGTTTTGGTAGCAGGGAGTTGTAAGTGTGGCCTCTATGAGATGAATCCAGAAGCTGCCTCGTGTTAGGTAAGGGTCAGCTCCAGACTACTCCAAAGGGACCTGCCGCTGGCCAGAGCCAATCCAATAAGTGATGTTGCTTGTGCCTCCGTGAGAGCAGATTTAAGAAAGGGGAAAAAAACTGCTTCGCAACAGCAGCTGGGAGAGTGAGGAGTGAGAGCCACCCCTGCAGCCCCCAAGGTCAGTGCAGCAGGAGGGCAGGAAGTGCTCCAGGCACGGAGCAGAAGTTCCCCGGCGGCCTGTGGAGAGGCCCCTGGTGGAGCAGGTTGTCCCCCCGCAGCTGACTGCAGCCCCTATTCCTTATTCCACTTCACTTTTGGGGGGAGGACATAGACAAGAGGGAGAATGGGGAGAAGGTGTTTTTATTTTATTTTGTTTGTTTGTTTTTGTTTTGTTATTTCTCACTGCTCTAGCTTGTTAGTAATAGATAATGAATTTTATTAATTTCCCTATGCTAAGTCTGTTTTGCCCATGATTATAATTGAGCCCCTTCCATCTTATTTTCTCCCCGTTTCCTTCTGAGGAGGGGGAGTGAGAGTGCTGTTGTGGTGGAGCTTAGCTGCCCAGCTGAACAAAACCACCACGACAGTCTGAGTACGAGATACCTAGAAGTTTCAGTATACGGTGAGTATCTATCTTGTTTTCAAAAAACAGGTAAACACATATTCAGAACCGAAATATTTGTGAATAACGTCATAATAACCAGAAGCAGTTTGTCCTTTTGTTCAGTATTGATAATGCTATCTCTATTTAATAAGATATTTTAATGTGCCCTTTTTTCTTATGTATTCTGTATCTGAAAGGCTTCATTTAATCAATAAAAAAGGTTGATTTTCTACATTTTTAACATACATTTTTTTCACCAGAATACAGATTGGCATGAATCCCAATTAAAAAAATTCTTTGGCATGTCAATAAGTAACGCAACATATGTTGTTTTTGAACAAAACGGAAAAAAAATACAAAAATAAGAAGCTGGCTATTTTGGAATACTATGAATCACCCTTTGGAAGTGTCTTTCTTTTGGAACTAGTTAGAGTGGATTTAACTGAAATTAGGTGCTGAGTTTTGAGATGTCTAAAATTAAATTGAATGAATCTCACCTTCTCTGGACAGTCTGTAACTGCAAATAAAACAGACTTAAATTTACTTCAAAAATTGGCTAATGAACAAGGATTTCACTGTTTGGAGGGAAATGATACATAAACACTGGCCATGAAAAAAATCACTATTTTAATAAAGCCGTTACCATTTCTTACCATTTTAAAATGTAACTATAAAAAGTTTTTAATCTCTTACATTTAAAACATTTCACTGCAATGACTACAAATCATCCAAATAATAGCTTACTTTTCTGAGCTATCAGAGAACTTGGAAAGAAATGAAATGGAGCAAACACTGCATGGTAGAATTATTCATTTTTTCATGTTTCAAAGCAGTGTATGAAAGACATGACCTATGTGACTGTTTGAATAAGGGCTTGAAGTATCTATTATGGGGAGAAAATATTTTTCACAGTGATCTGTGATTATCTATCAGTAAAATTTGGGATCAGGTACAAGCATTCTGTGCAACACTTGAACTGCCTCTTATACAAATATGTTGTCACTGATTATTTGTAGGCTTATACTGATTTCATTTAATATTGTGATTCAAAATGTTTTTCAACTGCATTATTTTATATAACACTTAGAAATGAGCAAATATTAAGATACTTTCTCTCTTGTTCACTGCAGCCAATGCAAATGGGAGAGGCCTGATGGGAAAGGTCAGTTGTCTGGGATTTATTACCTCTAGATGCAAGAAACTGGCAGCTCAGAAAACCCTCCATATTTTTAGATGTTTATTTGAACTCTCTAGATAAGCTAATAACTTTGTAAGGCTTGTGTGTCCTTATACATTTTAATGAGCAGGTAGTATAAACAATATGTCAGTTGCTGTCATTGTAGAAATATTTCAGAAAATGAGTGTGCAGTTCTTATGAAGTCTATACCTAAAAATGAAGATGACTGAGACAGTTTCCATTAAAGAAGCATGGTTAACATCCTCAGAGAAATGGAACTAAGATACAGAAAGAGAAATGGAACTAAGATACAGAAAAAAGTGAGTGTAGGCAAGTCTGCCATCAGATTCAAGATTGTGTGTCCAAACAAAAACTTACATAAAAAACATCCAAGACAATTATTTCATAGACTCTAGGTAGATTACACATACTGAATCACTTCATAAGCTCTAAGGACCCATGGTTAAAAAAAAGGATAGTTCAAAATGCACAAAATCAGTGAAAAAGAATAGTTCAAAAATATCTTTTTTATATATATACATAAATATATATAATATATATATACATAACATATATATGAAAATACACATATATATATTTTATATATATATATATGCATATATATATATATATATTTATTTTTTTTTAATCTACTAAGTCGCTTTCTCTAACCATTGCCCAATTCTTTCTTTCAGTGAAGAACAAGCCTTTGTTGAAGTGCATGTTGCTTCTTCAGGCTGTTTCAGTGTAAGAAGACCTGTGAAACATTAATTATGGGAATAATAGAGGGATGATAGAAACTAAAGATTGTCAGTGCATGTGTCTGTATTTTACTTTTCTAGTATTTTCAATATTCTTTTGTTTCTGACATTTCAGCTGTTGACTTCAACAAAACCAAACAACTCATTGCTCCGGTGTCTGGAGCACCTTCTGCCCTCCTCCTTCACTGACCTTGGTGTCTGCAGGGCTGGCTCTCGCTCCTCACTCTCCCAGCTGCTGTTGTGCAGCATTTTTTTTTCCCCTCTTTCTTAAATCTACTCTGACAAAGGTGCAAACAACAAAGCTTATTGGCTTGGCCCTGGCCATTGGCAGGTGTCTTTGGAGATGGCTGAAACCGGCCTTTTTCTGGCATGAGGCAGCTGCTGGCTCACAGAGACCAACCCTGCAGCCCCCTGCTGACAAAACCTTGCCATGTAAACCCTGTACATTGTCACATCCAGTACTAAACCAGGAATGCATCCTTAGCATACTTTCAAACAACTGTTGGTTTCTGAGTCGTCATTTGTAACGTTAACAATCATTTTAACAGAAGGAATTGCATCTAACCTTTGCGTAAGCTATCTGTGTCTTTTATGCCAACAGAAATATGACAACCATAATAACTGGGATGTAATGTGGATTAAATTAACTATTTAAAATTAACTATTTAAAAAGTCACGTTGATGATGGTAAAAACGTCTACTTTCTTCCTGATTAAATTTCCCAGTGCACTGCATATACAAAGAAGATTGTTAGTTCCTATCTACCGCTCAGTAGGTGCTAAACATTCATATCCAAATGCAGCATTATACCATTAATAAAACAGTATGCAGACTGAAGGAATCTATATGTATATTGTTGTCATTTAAATTTACAGTATCCCCAAATTAATAAATTTTTCATAAGAGTGCAAACCTTTTGCAAATATCCTTCTTTTCTAGAGAAAATTGTAATCCATCTTTAGAACCACAACCTTTTAGACGTATTAGTCTAACCTCAGTCCCTGGAAAAAGTTATTGAGAAGATTGCCCTAGGGGATATTTAAAAGCATTTAAAGAATAATGCTATTATCAGACATTGTCAACATGGGTTAATGGAGGAAAAATTCTGCTTTATCAATTTGATCTCCTTCTATGATAAGATCACCCACTTGAAGGATTAAAGCCTCAAGTTGCACCAGGGGCTTTAGGTTGGGAATTTGGAGACTTTTCTTCTCAGAAGGAGTGGTCAGGTGTTGGACCTGGTGTGTAGGGACATGATTTGGTGGGTGACATTGGTAGTAGGGTGATGGTTGGACCAGATGATCTTGAAGGTCTTTTCCAACCTTAATTTTTCTATGATTCTATACCTGGCTTGTCCCATTTGGAGAAGAGGAGGGTGAGAGGTGGCCTTATTGCTCTCTGCAGCCTGAGGAGAAGTGCAGAGGGAGGTGCTAATCTCTGTTACCTGGTAACCAATGACAGGATGTGTTTGAATGCCACAGAGCAGCAACAGAGTAGGTTCAGACTACATATAAGGAAAAAATAATTTTCATTATGAGGGTGGTCAAACACTGCAGCAGGCTTGCTAGACATTTAATTGATGCCCCATGACTGTCAATGTTCAAGAGTTCTTTAGACAATGCTCTCAATAATATGCTTTAACTTATGGTTAGCCCTGAAGAGGCCAGGAAGCTGGGCTAAATGATCTTTGAAAGTCCCTTCCAACTCTTCTCTGCCCTGCCTTGCCCTGCTGTGCCCTGCCCTGCTGTCCCCTCCCCTCCTTGTTTCATCTATTCAATTCTATTCAGCTCCTTTAGGAAGACTAGATTACTTTTTCACCATAAGCATGATGGACTCTGATGTGATGGAGAGACCAGATTTACTTAATTCTATTTCTTACTACAGTATTCACCCACATTCTGATAAAGGTGATGTCTGAACTGAAACAGATATGCAAGTTTCAAAAAGCAGAAGTCTGAAACTAGGTGCTCATTACAAGCAGAAAATTGGAATCAGAAGTTACTATAATATTTAAACAGATATTTTAACATGATATTTGACTATCATGTATTGCCAAAGGGAAACAGGAGAGCTTTTCTGATAGATTTCTTTTTAATGAATTGCATTTCCTTTTTGTGAAAATGAAACCATATATACCAAGTTGAACATGAATAAAAAAAATGAAAATCTGAAATATGATTTAACTTAGAATAACATGTGTTTTATCTTTATTTCATGACACAAAACAGAACAATGCAAATGAAATAATACAGCATATTAGAGTTTAAATACGCAATTTTTCTTTCCAATTGATAAGTTTCAAGTAATTTGTACAGGAGCTTGTGTGTCTAAATGAAATCTCCAACAGCATGTTTGTGTCATCTTCTCAAATAATAAGGTGCTATATGATAGAATTATACACTTGTCCGAGTTGAAAGGAGTAGTCTTCAATGTGGGCATGTATCTGTTTGCACAGTTAATTCAGGACATACAATTGTCCCAGCAGGACTGCAGGCTGGCTTAGAGCCAGAGCTTCATTCCTGGTAATATCCTCTACTGCCTTAGTTGAAGAACATGTCACACCTCTCCTTAGTAAACAGAAGTGATGAAGTTTGGAAAAGCCTTTTCTCTTCACTTGTGTATATTTTATTGGTTACTTTTTCTGAATGTGACATTTTGGAAGCAATAAAGCTCTCTCTCCCACAGCCTCTCAGTGGGATCTGTTGATGCTTAGGACCCAGATATATTGGTACCCTCACCTTAACTGTCTGTATAAACCAAAAAGCTAGTTATCACAAATTATTACAGCTGCCCCAGTGATCTTTAGCAATTGGTTTTAGACAGCAGAACCTGCTGAAGGTCAAGAGCAAGAAACAAGAGTAGTTTACACTTTGTATACATTCTTTCCTCTATACATCTTTTTTCTTTCTTCCTAAACTTGGCATCCCAGGATCATGATTTAGAGGTGAGAGACATCTACAGACTGCAGCGGCATCTGAAGGCCAGCAGATCAGCAGGTCTTTTTCCTCCATCAGCTGTGTGCAATCCCCAGAGCTCAAGCCTGCAAGTTGAGGGCAGAGCAGTGCTTCAGAATCTGGTTTTAAGCTGTAATTAGGACCTCAGATCTGAAATTCAGTTGTTCAGAGAAATAAGGAAAAGCAGAAAGGAAAGGGAGGTGAGGAAAGGATATAACAGACATGTCAGTCTAATGTCGAAAGACTCAAGGGTTTTCATCAGCTTTGCTCAAACTCAGAGGATGAGATCCTGGGGTGAATCAGCAGAATCGCCTAGGTAAAGAAAAAAAAAAAAGATTTTGATTTCTCAAGTTGAAGATCTAATCTGTGATATATTTCCTATCTCTTCCCTCCAAAAGTTACTGAGTAAGTTCACTTAGAGGAGAACTAGAGAAAAAGGCACTAGAAAACTTCTTCCCCTTCCTGTTTAATTTAACAGAACAAACCTAGGAGTTTTCTTCATGATGTTGTGGTCTCAGAAGTATCCTGCTGGGAGTTTGTTCTACAGCTTTGGACAATTCCTCTCTGAAACCACCTGGTGTATCTGGCCTTGCTTCTGACCTATCTGTTTGAAGTGTACACATATTAGCTGAGGCTAAACTTCTATTTGCAGTGAATTAGCACAGATCAGAGTGGAATCTTTTGCTCTCTTACTGACCCAGGACAGCATACTGATGAGAAAGAAGTTTCATTTTTTTTTTTTTGTTTGTTTCCTAGAAGCTACCTTCTGTCTTTCTCTTTATTACTATAAATGTTATTTTTGCAAAATAACATGTTGATTTTTTTTAAATTTAATTTATTGTTATTTTTTATTAAGACCTTTTACAGAGACTTATCTTTTATTTTTTATTTACAGAGACTTTTACAGAGACTTACAGAGCTTCATTATACCCCATTTAGATTTGTAACACATTTTATATAAATACCTTTTGATTAATGACAGTAGTTCATATCAGTCATAATTTTGAATATTTCATGTGTTTATGAATGACTTTCTCACTTTCGTCCAGAGTTGGTTTCAGGCTAGCTTTTCCTTAAATATAATGAACTCTAACACTGGATCAGGAAATAACATAAGTACAAGTGAAAAAACATGCCAAATGTGCTTCTGCTTTAATCCAGCAATGAGATTAAATAAATGATTGTAGTCAAAAGTGCATCTAAGATGGTGGATATGGTAAAAACTGTATTTATTCAGCCTTGATTGCCTTCTTTCTGAGTAGCCTTTTTCTCTTGGAGAGAGTTCTCTTTTGTTGATGGAAAGCAACAGGATGGTGTTTACGTGGGGGGGTGGAGGGGTATCCTCTGCTGATATAGAGATGCACTTCCTAGTTCCTGGAAAGGTAATCTACTGCTCTCCAGCAGTGTCTGGGCAATTTAGTTGCTGAACAGAGCAACAGGTCTGTTTCAGGTGCACCCTGATAGCGCATCAGCAGTGATGAGCAATGCTGCTGTGCTCCGTCAGCAAAAGCCTGAGAATAAAGGTTACAGTCCCTGCCAACTTTGACAACTAGTCAACAGCTAATGCCAGTTGTGACATTTTTGCCTGGTGACACCTGTACATAGAAAGAAGTCAGTGACCATCACTTAATTGTTCTCATCCTCAATTACAATCCCCTAAGCACCTTCTCTTTAAAGCAGAACATATCAATGATAAACTAACACATCTTCCCACAGGCAGTTATGGGAAAATAGGCTTTTGTAGCAAGTATTAATAATATTATTTGAGAAATGGAGTGTAGCAATGATAAATGTTGTTGTTTATAAACAACTCTTTCAAATGAACTGATGGTTTAGATGATTTTAATAGTATCATGATTCGTAAATACTGAATTTACAGAAGTTTTGGTAAGTCAGTCTAAGGTTTCCTTTATTTACAGTTATCTACAATAAAAATAGCTGCTGCTACCATTTTTGTACACTCTCTTCTTATCATTCCTGCAGTATGTTTTTTTGGCTATATGCTAAAACATAGCCTATGCAGAAGACGATAAAACCACAACTTACTTGTTGTGCTGATGCTTTCTTGCATCCTAGTGACTTTCTTGGGCAGCCTATGAGCCCTGTCAGGATGTAGGAAGTTTGCATACCATGGGTTTCTGGAATGCTTAGGGACAGCAGAAGGATAAGAAGAACACGTGGAGCAAATGAAACAGAGAAGAATCAATTCACCATCTTGAAGGCAAAGTACACTAACTGACAGCAGCTAAAGTGCCTTGTAAATAGTTTTATCTCCTTCAATTAAGAGCCAAACTGAAAACCAAACCACAGTAATGATAAATGCTGACAGAGGGTGGGAAATGATGGGTAAGTGTACTGAGGGGGAGAGGCAGAGGCAGGGTGACCTCTACCCCCTCCACCCTTGGTTTCTGGACAGATTCTGTTGTACCTCAGCAGAGAGAAACAGAGGAAACAAATTTCTACTGTAGTAATAAGGAATTCAAGACTGAGCTTCCGGAGAGATTACTGCATTTCACAGGTGGTTGAAGCTGTTTGGTTTGTAGCCCTCATGCCTTTCACCACCATCCAGGGAGCTATAATTGCTTTCGAACTCAGTGACAGTCTTTTCTTATGGCTTAGTTATAGCTTGAGTTTACTAGCTACTATTTTACTTATTATTTTATTTTATTTTATTTTATTTTATTTTATTTTATTTTATTTTATTTTATTTTATTTTACTTGTATTTGGAAATGATGGATAATGATGGTAATGATGGATAACCAAACCTAGACTTTTGATGTATTCAATCTGTTTGCTGAACTGCCCCAAATATTTTTAAACTCCACACTATTTGCAAAAATTTCAGGAGAAAAATTTATAGATAATGAAATGAGCAGTTATGAGCAGTGTAGTTTTATGCAGTTGTTCTCTCCTGGAGTTTGTTTTTAAAAGTAAAATGGTTTAAAAGCTGCTTGGAATTATACTGGTTGGATTGATACTGCTTTAGTAGAACTTCTCACATAATCACAGAATTGCAGAATTGTAGGGATTCAAGGGACCTCCAGAGATCATTGGGTCCAACCCCCCCTGCCAAAGCAGGTTCCCTGCAGCAGGTTGCCCAGGTAGGCATCCAGAGGGGCCTTGAATATCTACAGAGAAGGAGACTCCACAACCTCCCTGGGCAGCCTGTTCCAGCGCTCCGTCACCCTTACCATGAAGAAGTGGGTGTTCTCTCCAGTGGGTGTTTTCTCCTGTCTCTCAAGTAACTTATGTACTTCTCTGGATTTCTATGTCCAAAGAGGGTGCAGGAGTTCATAGGTAGCATGCTTATGTTGGTGCGGTCACTGAATCTGACTTCAGAGTGCTGTGAGACCCTTGGGATCACAAAGAAACACTAAATGAATTTTCAACAGCTCCAGTATTAAATGTTAGTTTAGGGTCATTGGATGTTTTTATGGCTGGAAAAGTAGGAATTTCCACTTCGAATGTATGCACCTACACGCTACTTACGACCTGATTTACATAAGTATGCATGTAACTTCTTTTTAAGATAAACTTCATAGTCTATATCTAGATGCTTTAGATCTGTTTTGTGTAAGAAGGAATCTTTCAGCCACAACTGAAAAATGGTTGTTGATAGTTGCATCCTTGCTGCTGCTGAGGACTTCAAAGTCTGAGACCTGAGCATGGAATTGTCTTGACCATTACATGCAATAATTTAGGCTTGACATCAGGAGGGGGTTCTTCACAGAGAGGGTGGTTGCACACTGGAACAGGCTCCCCAGGGAAGTGGTCACTGCACCGAGCCTGTCTGAATTTAAGAAGAGATTGGACTGTGCACTTAGTCACATGGTCTGAACTTTTGGGTAGACCTGTGCGGTGTCAAGAGTTAGACTTGATGATCCTTAAGGGTCCCTTCCAACTCAGGATATTCTATGATTCTATGATTCTATAATAATATTTCAATAGTAAAACTGAAGCAATTCAAATCACATAAAAATTGATAGGATAAATGTGCTGCAGTCTCTGTAATCTCCAGTGCTTGAGCAGAAACC